TTTTTTAAGATTTTATTTATTTATTTGACAGAGAGAGACACAGCGAGAGAGGGAACACAAGCAGAGGGAGTGGGAGAGGGAGAAGCAGGCTTCCCGAGGAGGAGGGAGCCTGATGGGGGCTCGATCCCAGGACCCTGGGATCATGACCTGAGCTGAAGGCAGACGCCTAATGACTGAGCCACCCAGGCGCCCCTTATCTTTCTTTTAAAAAAGATTTTATTTATTTATTTATTTATTTATTTGAGAGTGAGTGAGAGAGCACGAGCAGGGGGAGCAGCAGAGAGAGAAGGAGAAGCAGGCTCCCTGAGCAGGGAGCCCGACTCGGGGCTCCATCCCAGGACCCCCGGGACCACAACCTGAGCAGAAGGCAGACACCTAACCACCTGAACCACCCAGGCGCACCACCACTACTTTATCTGGAGCAAACCCTGCTCCTCGACACCCCTTAGCTCCGAGGGTAACCCGGTCTTTTTTTTGGTCCCCTTTTTTGCCGCTCTTCTCTCTGGACTTATGATAAGTATGTACTCTGAAGGTTTTTGAGAACTAGTTTCAGGTATTTTAGTTACTTTTAAAAAAAAATCCTCTTCCTGAACCACCGGACATTGCAAGAACAGAGGAAGTCATTAACACTCAATTTTATTTTTCAGGAAAAAGAATTCGTGTTTTTTTTATTTTTCAGGAAAAAGAATTCGTGTTTTTAGCAGAACATCAAATCAGAATGATCCAGAAAGATAGTTAAGTTTTATTATTGTTAGTAAGAGCAATGCAGAGACAGTGAATCAGTTTATCACAGTACACACTGTGAAATGTGACCAAGTGCCATGGTACTGTTAGATAACCTTTGAGCTGCTTATCGTGTCCAGCCAGCACGTTACTGACACTGCAGTTTGTGGAGCTCAGCAATGCCAAGACTCTGAACAACTGGATCTAAGGTCACAAAAGCACAATATGTACCTAATTTGCCACTGGCACAGCTCCATTAGGTGCATTTCCACAGCCATTTTGCTCAGAATCTTTTTGAGAAATCCTTCTTCTAAAGAAGACAAACTTGTCCTAGGCTGTTTGCATCTTTCTTTTTAGTTCTTCCCCATTCCTTTGTGAGACCTAATGGATTAGTTCTCCTTTATGGTTGGGAGGGGAAAGTGAGATTCCTTGCAGTGATCTGCATGTGTCCAGCTCCCTGATTTTTCATCTAACTTGGTAAAAACACTTTTTTAAAAAAAGATTTTATTTATTTATTTGACAGAGAGAGACAGCAAGAGCAGGAACACAAGCAGGGGGAGTGGGAGAGGGAGAAGCAGGCTTCCCGCTGAGCAGGGAGCCCGATGTGGGGCTCGATCCCAGGACCCTGGGATCATGACCTGAGCCGAAGGCAGACGCTTAACAACTGAGCCACCCAGGCGCCCTGGTAAAAATACTTTCTTAACTGAGGGAGCTGGTGTCTATTTCTAAGACTCCCATTGCATTACCACCTGCTTTAGATTATATTTATTATATTTTATATATATATAATATCCACTAAGATTTTTGTAATATGAGTTTCATACTTATATACACAATATATATATTTTAGAGTAAGATTTGACTGTTTAAAATCTATTTATTGTTGTGGAGAATTCTTATTCACTCCAAGCCCAGTGAGGAGTGAGTGTGGGGGAAATTGCACGAACTAGACATTTTTTGATGATAATTTATAAATATCCATTTGTTACTACTGGGGCTTCATCCCTACTGAAACATCACTGCTCTTTTTTATAATCCATAAAAATGGGGAGGGAGGATGAGTGAAATTTGGAGTTTTCCCCTTTTATTAAGTCCTTTCTTTTCACTGTAGGACAAGGACTATCTGTTTGAACACATAGTAGTAACTCAAAACATAGTTATTCAATGAATGTTGGGTACTATGAATGGAAGTGATATGATTGATGGTTATAGAATGTCAACTGCTTTTGCCTTTTGGAGGACATGGAAAGTAACAATACTCCTGTCCACAAGAGGGGGGGCAAAGTATTCTAGTCCTCTGGTAGGTGATTTCACCTGGCTGTAGGACCTTCTCATCACATGAAACTTTGTGTTCACCCCAACCTGCATTAATTGTTGATGGCTGAAGCTTAGAATGGCCAATACAGTGTCTTCACCCTGAGGATGAAAAAACACAGCAACTTATCCATTCCTAGGTCTCTGGGACTAGGACCCCCCAACTTCTAACCCAACATTAGGCCTGTAGTGATAAATTGTGACACCTGACAGTGGCATATCTAATGGCAAAATACTTTCAAGCGATGAGAGTGGGATCTACAGTATTGGAATGATACTTTACCTTTCTTTATGAACCCCAGCTGTTTGGAATTATCTAATAAACCATCAGCAAAGCGTGGCAAAATCTATACTAACTCCTAATTCTTAAGGTAGGAAAACAAATATTTTCCTCCATTCATTTGGAAAAGCAACAATACAAGAGATACAAGAAATATTATGTGTGTATATATTCTCCCTTCCCTTCCCTTCCCTTCCCTTCCCTTCCCTTCCCTTCCCTTCCCTTCCCTTCTCTTGTCTTGTCTTTTCTTTTCTTTTCTTTTCTTTTCTTTTCTTTCTCTTTCTCTTTCTGTGGTGGATCCCATTCAAGATCTACCTTGGGCTATCTGAGTAACTTTGCCTACAGCATTAGTCCATTAATTTATCCTCCAGCCAACCAGCCATTGATCTACATTTATTGATCCATCCATCTGTCTAACTAGCTAGCCAACTATCCATGTCCATCCATGTCTGTCCATCCAACTCTAAGCACATCACTTGAGTGCCTACTCTGTGCTAAGTCCATATCAGCTGTTTTATAAAATATTTTAAAATTTATATGGGTGTATTGCCCACCAAAAAAAAAATATTTTAAAATTTGGACTTGTCTGATTATTTCCTCCTGAGAGATTCAGGTAAAAAAAAAATTGGTGCTGAGGCGGGGTAGGAACACAGAACACGGAATTTTATAGATAAAATCTCAGTGCATCTTACCTGGAGGCACTTGTCAATTTGTCTCATTGTTGGTGATGTTCACCAGATTTCTTCCTTGACAAAATACAAATATCTCTATAATCAGTGCATTGCTTGTGGGGGTGATAGACTGAGACTGTGTGAATACTCTGTTCCCAAATCATCTCTTACTCAGTGGTTGAGCATCCATTGATGAGCCCCATCCATGGAGATTTCTTATCTTGTAGCAACTTTTCACCTCATTAGCTCTTTATGAGCTTTGCAGTTTATTTGAAGTATGGAATGCCATCAATTATTTCACCATTCTAAGTTTCCTCTTCCCTCTTTTGCCCTCCATGTTTGTACAGAAGACCAGGCTTTCTTCTTCTAGATCCCAATCATTCTTTTTTTGTGCATTTAGGAAGAGCAAAGGAGCATCTGAAGTGGATGGCACTGAAGATAAGTGTGAAAATATGATCACAATTGAGAATGGCATCCCCTGCGATCCTCTGGACACGAAGGGGGGGCACATTAACGATGCCTTCATGACAGAGGATGAGCGGCTCACCCCTCTCTGAAGGGCTGCTGTTTTGCTTCCCCAAGAAACTCACCACCTGTTTCTGTGCAACTGCTGAGCACTATAAATGATCAAGGGCAGATCATCGATTTTGTTTCACCACTCTTCTAAGAAATTTTGCATGTGCATGAAAGTAAAAGGCCATCATTTATACCCATGAACACCATTGGAATCATAAGCTGTTGACTGCTCAAAATATTCTAAAATATTTCTCTGACAACATAGTGTGTAAGTGTAGTCATGTGGTGTCTTTAGTTATTGGTTTAAAAGTGCATTAGTATTAAGCATTTCCGGAAATATATATTTTTTCACACTTCGAAGATCTACAGAGAGATATTTTTCCAGTGGAGAATATGCATAATATGGTGTAAAAATCTTTGAAAATGGATCCTTTTTGAATATTGTTTATATCACTCTGTATATGACTAAGGAAGAATAAAATACAATGTTTGTAATGGGATATGAATGATGAAAGTGGGAGTGTCAGTACACAAGGTGGAATTTGATCCTGTTATCATACCAATACTTAACTTATTCTCTATTGTTCTCTAATAAGGCAGCCCTATTGGTTGACTATTTCTGCAGTTTGTAAAAGTACAATCTCCGTGAATTTAATAAAAGTGCTAATCATCTCTTTTTAATTATGTGACTGATTGTGGTCTGAGATTTATTTTCATACTGTGGAAATTAGTAAGCCTAATTTTTACTAGTTATGTGTAATCTGTTCTACAACCCTAGAAATGAATTATTTTTGTTGTGTGTATCCTTGCTTGAAGACATCTCATAGTTTGTAAACTTCATTTTATTTCCAGATAGGCCATGACTATTCTAATCTCTAATAATAAATTATTATACATTTATGAATAGAAAGAAAATTTGCTGCTCAGTCTCCTACTGCTATCACCCATAGTTGATGTTACAGCAACAGTTTCCAACTCCCTTTACTGCCCCAGTGTTGCTCCCCAGATCCAGACTCCAAGATGGGTAATTGCAGGCAGAAGGTTTATTGGGAAGTGCTCTCAGGAGATACACCTGTAAGAAGTGAGGAAGGTAGGTGTGGCAAATAGACTCTAAGATGTCTGCCATTTCCTAATGTTCACGCCTTTATGTAACCCCTCTCCTTGAGTGAGGATGGGACCTCTGACTTGCTTCTGCATGGAATACAGCAAAGATAAAGAGATGTTACTCCTGCAATTACTTTATATTATGTCTGAGTCTGTCTTGCTAGCAGACTTGTTCTAGAGACTCTCCTCGCTGGCTTAAGTAAATGGCCATGTTTGGAAAGCCTACATAAAAGAGACTGTGAGCAGACTTTAGGTGGCCTCTCAGCACTGAAGACAGCTTCTGCCAACAGCCAGCCAGAAGCTGAGGTCTTTAGTCCTTCAGCCACAAGGAAATGAACTCTGTCAACAACTAAAGTGAGCTCGGAAGTGGATTTTTCCCCAGTCAGACTGTCTCCAGATGAGAATGCCGTCTGGTCAACACTTTGCAGCCTGAGCAGAGGATCCGGTTAAGATGTGCCCAGACTCCTGACCCATGGACACTGTGAGATGATAAATGTGTGCTTTTTTTAAGCCACTGAGTTTGCAGTAAGGTGTTATGCTGCAATAGGAAACTAGTTAAGAGTAGGATTAGGCAGAGGGAGAAGTGACCAGCCACATGATTACAACAGAGGCTTTAGCCAATCCTTCCAGAAGCCTAGGAGCTGAGGTTGTCCCTGATTGAGATAAGGTGGCTGGGCCTTTGTATCTCCACATTAGCCAGTCATGGCCATGGGTGCTCTCTGGGGGAGGGTCTGCTCTTGGGAAAGGTAGTTCCCTGTGGCTGGGGGCAACTCCCATCGAATGAATCAGCTGTGAGCCTTCAAAAGCCAGTGTTTCCAGAAGCTGGGGGTAGGTACATGGATCTTGAAGAAGGGGGCCGGTGGACCCCCAGAATATCCACCATACCCTCTCCAGTCCATTGACTGTAATGTAGCTTGAATGAATATCCAAAATGTAAACCTGATCCTGTTGGTTCCTAACATAGATGCTTTTTTAAAAAAATATTTTATTTATCTATTTGACAGAGAGAGAGAGCACAAGCTGGGGGAGTGGCAGGCAGAGGGAGAAGCAAGCTCCCTGCAGAGTAGGGGGAGCCCGATGTGGGGCTCGATCCTAGGACCCCAGGATCCTGACCTGAGCCGAAGGCAGTCACTTAACCAACTGAGCCACCTAGGCGCCCATAACGTAGATGCTTTTAAATGGCTTTTTATTATCTTTAGGATAAAGCCAGACTTCTAAAACATAGGCAGGACCTGCTGAGTTTCCCTCCACCTTCCTCTCTAATCTTGCACCCTGCTCCTCTTTCTCTCTCTCTCTCTTTCATCTAAGTCATAACAGATCTCTCACTTCCAGGCCTTTGAACAAGCTGTTCTCTCTACACTGTTCCCTGTCTCTCAGCCACTCTTTCAGCTTGTCCTTAGCCTTTCTTTCACTTAAACATCTTGCCCCTCCTGGAGGTCTTTGCTGGACCTCCCAGTTATGTGTTCCTAGACTGCCCCGATAATTATACTCATCTTGTTGTACCACAGTTACGTTATGTTTAAATGTGTCTTTATGGAGGAAGGAGACCATACAGGCAAGAGTACCCTAAGGGCCCACAAAAATCCGAATACACTGTCTCCTTGAACATTCTCATAACCTATTTCACTCCTCCCCCACCTCTAACCAGATAGAATTAACCACTAATTTGTAACCTCACCATAGCTGTGTATCTTTTTAATGCAAATTATTATAATATTTTACTTTATTTGTTTTTACATATCTGTATCTTCACACTACATATAATATTCTTGGAGGCAGTGTTCAAATCATTAGCATAGTACCCTGTCTTTCTCTTTCCTTCCTTTCTCCCTTCCTTCTTTCTGTCCTCTATTCTACAATGGTGAGCAAAAATCAAACACAATCCCTGCCCTCACAGAGTTGAAAGTCTACAGAGCTCAATAAATGTGTGCTGATAAATAAGTAAATGAGATGGTAACTGTTGCAAGCTCATAGTCTTATCCTTTCTGAGAGCAAAGCCTGCCCCTCTCCCTGTAGGTGGAGGAGTTTGAAATTGTGGGTGTGAGATTTTTGATTTGGACACCATTTTGACTTGGGAATCATATTGCTCTTTAATATTATTAGGGCTTCCTCCTTTTTAGGAGAGGAAGGAGATTTCTTCTCTCAGTTGATAATATATGGTTTGCTAAAGAACCATTTTCTATCTTACATTTTCTTGAGTTGAATATTCCAGAATAGGGTAGCTTTGCATATCGAATTGGTGAAACATCATCAGAATTCAGTGTGTACTAGCAAGCATAATCCAAGACATGCGTTCTCAAGATGACGGAAATTGTTCTTAGTGGGGAGAAAAAAAGTTAAGATGTTACAATGGCTTATACTCCTCCAAAGGACCACTGTCCATAAACAGATAAAAAATATACCTATGGTATTAACATTTTCTGGATGAGCTATTAGGAAAAGATGTTTAAAAAGTCTCAATAATGGGGTGACAACAGGTTGAGAAACACTCATCCCAGATAGGCTTCTTATTTTGAAAGCATGGGCTGAACCAGCTTGATCACTAGATCATTTTCTTCACTGTCTGTTTATCCTGATGCTGAGGGGATTGATTCCACTTGCAAAGGTCTGCTCCACTAGATAGCCTTATTGGGGAAGTTTTCTATGCTAGCAGAAATGAGCTATAAACTTGACAGTCAATATAACAGCAAAATGGGGTTTATGCCTTCTGCCTACTGCCTTTGACAAACACTCTGGGTAATTAGAGAGCAGTCAGTCATCAACCACACCTTTCGTTTTTAATTTACTGATCCCATAATGTGTCACAAGGGAGCACACTGTGAGGTGATATGTACTGGAAATAAAATGGTGTAAAGCAAGTGGAAATATAGCTGTCATTCCACTCTCCAAGTCCTTAACCAAAACTGATGAAACTGGAAAAACAGAAGCATCTGAAAAACAAGTCCCTTAAGAAAAAATTAGGTGGGATGGTGATATCTGGATCTGTTTCATAGAAGAAACATAAATGCAGGTAACTTTTGTGTGGGTTTTTGTTTTTTTTTTTTTTTTTGGTGTAGTTTCACCTTCCATGTTTTCCACAAGGACTAATCAATACAAACATCACTGTATCATTTTTTAAAATAATTTTTATTGTTATGTTAATCACCACTGTATCATTTTTTTAAGATTTATTTATTTGAGAGAGACTATGAGTGGCAGGAGGAGCAGAGGGAGAGGGACAGGTGGACTCCCCGCTGAGCCTGGAGCCCAATGCAGGGCTCCATTCCATGACCCATGAGATTATGACCTGAGCTGAAACCAAGAGTCAGACACAACAAATTGATCTACCCAGGTGCCCCCAAACATCACTATATTAAAGAATGCAAGGGCGCCTGGGTGGCTTAGTCAGTTGAGTGGCCAACTCTTGGTTTCAGCTCAGGTCATGATCTCAGGGTCCTGGGATTGAGCTCCTTGTTAGGCTCCCCTCAACGTGGAGTCTTCTTGGGATTCTTGCTCTCCCTCTCCCTCTGCCCCACCCCTGCTCATGCTCTCTCTCTCTCTTTCAACTAAACAAATCTTAAAAAAAAAAAAGAATGCGGTGAGTTCCTGCATTTCAAATGATCCATGATCAGATTCCAGATATGAACATCATCAAGTGAAATATGCACATTTATCATTCCTGGATAAAGAACAAAGAATGGGAGAGAAAGGTTAAGAACCAAAAAGAGTAAAAAACCCCTCAAGAGTCCAAATTCCCAGTCCTCATTTCAAATTCATGGGGCCCCTTAACATAATATTTTATCTCCCATTTTACATCTTGTTTTTCTTCATAAAAAATATTGCATGTCTAGTTAACTTCATTACATAAGCAAATGTAAGGAAGATTTTCCCCCTTCTTTCCTACTATCTTTATGTTGCTCCTTCCTTTCTGCCTCAAGAACTTATTGAATGTCCACTC